ATATATATATTCACTAATAGGAAAGATGGAATTCATGAAGTGCTTTTTTTTTTAATGTTGGTCTTATCATGCTTACCTCCACCACAAACTGCTTCTGACTAAAAACTCTGGACATGCTTGTGATCTCCTCAGCTGTCTCCTTTGACTTAGCATAGATTAAGTGGTAGGTTTCGGGTGTCAAAGTTTGGCCTGGAATTTGAATTCCAGGGCCTGTTTTTCTGCAACGGGTTTCTAGCTCTCAAGTCTGTAGTGAGGCTTTGGAAAAGGCACTCCTACCGCCATGGATCCAGAACCCTGTTGCTAGATATCAATGTGCACTTCCAAGGAGAAAGCAGTGTGGCACCCATCCATGTCTGTCTCCAGAATCCCTTCACCCAGTGTGGTCTCTCGTGAAGCACGCCTTGAAACTCAAGATCCATTTTCTCCCTCCAAGTCATGTGTCCTTCTAGAGTGGAAACTCGCACCAGACACTTACTGCACCACCCTTGAGGGTCTACAGGCCTTTCCAAAAGGGGGTTATGGACCTTGGAAGATCCACAGCATCTTTTCCAAGCCTGGATCCTCATCCCTTTTACAGAGGAGTTGCCCAAATGGATTTGGGACTTTCCACATGCCAACCCCCTTCCCTGCTTTCTTGCGTGTGACCCCTTGCTTTACGGCTCTTCCCTCCCTATTGCTGTCATTGCTTTTGTTTTACGTTTTTCGGCCACATTTGCTTGGAATACAACGTGCAGGTGGCACTTCCTTTGGCGACAAAACGGGTTTTTTTAGATCAGAAGGACAACCCCAAGTGCTGGAAGGGTGCTTCGCCAGAACCAGGGTAGAATTTTTGCAACTGTGGAGGTCAAACGGAGCCAGCAAAGTGGGTAAACCCACCAACTTCTACAGCAGTGGTGCACCATCTGGGGCCCTGTAATGCCACCCAGTCCCCCACATCCCCAAACCATGATTGCAACCCACAGAACCCTCCAAACATTGTTGTCTTGCTGCATTTTTTTAATACAACGGAAGGGAAAGTTGCATCGGGGCATGGTTGTATGAATTCTAATGTAATCTTAATTCAGTTTGGCTTAGCTTCTGTTCCAACCTTGTCCTTTTCTTGAAGTGGAATTCAAAGCTCACGCGTGGTCCTCGGTTCAAAGGCAACGATGCCTCCTCTCTGTGTACTGTGGTGCTTATGGAGGAATAATCCCAAACAGGTTGCGGAACGAGGGCATTTATCCTGTCGGCAACCTGTGATTTGGCCCCCACGCTCTCTGCTTCGGCGGCCCTCCCATTTGTGGACTGGCTTCGATTCTGTCCATTTCGGTTTTCAGAACCAGGAAGACATTCACGAGTGTGCGTTTTGAAGTCTTTCCAGCAGAAAAGCTGCCTCCTGAAGGGATCGGAATTGAACAAGATTGGAAGATATCTGCTCTTCCTGTTCCAAATGATGCTTTGGCAGCGATTGAAATCGAACACTTGACGCATCAACCTGGACCAAACATAGAACCTCTCTCTTAAACATTGTGGTTGTTAACAACAGTCCCAACCTGCAAGATAGCTTATGGGGAGGTGGGTGGGTAGATAGAAAAAAGGTGTCATTATTCTCTTCAAGTGGCCTGGTCAACCTCTACTATATCCTACTGTTATCCCACCCCACCCCCAATTCGGCCAGAGGGACAGAATGTCTTCCCCTTCCCTACTTCTGTCTTCCAGGACAGCCTCAAAAACAGGATGGAAAGGCTGGTCACCTTTGGGAATGTAGAAGATGGGAAGAGAAAGAAAGATGAAAAGCTAACAGTATTAAACTTACCAAATCCACCATCACCACCACCACTTTGAAAGGCCAGGGGACTGTTGCCAATTTGCAGCAATGATGGTTGGAGAGTGCCCCGGAGATCACAAAACTCTGGCAAGGGGCTACTTGGGGTTCAAAAGGCTACAGAAGATCAGGTTTCGCTCTTGTAAAAGCTGGATCTCGTGAGAGAGAAACAAGAAGTTCTCAGGCTAGACAGAATCATTTTGCAAACCTAGAGCAGATGTCTCCCATTCTTGAGGCCAGGAAGAAAGTAACCAAATTTCCATAGACTCTAGGAAAGGGCCTAGAATTTAAACCTGTAAGAGATACAGAGAAATAATTGATTTTTTTGTCTTCTGCAGTTGGTATATCTTCTGCATATATATGGCTTCTTTCTTGTCTACAATAAAAAAACTAATCTAGCTGTGTCACATCTCTGAGCTTCTGCTGTGAACAAGGTTCTGAACACCAAGTGAAGTCCTTAGAGATCTGGACGGGGTGTGGAAACTAACAAGATCTACCTGCTCATATTCCCAGCACTACACAAGGAGAGTCTGTACTTTGACACCAACATTAAACAAAGACTACAGATCCCACTGATGATCATTGAAGTTCTCCATGTTTTGCTTCAATATTAAAACAAGTTACGACCCAGATGCATTAGCTAACCTTGCACTGGGGGGTGTGGGTGTGGGTGTGCAGAATCTGCTACAACCAGCGGCTCCCATACCATTCCCAGGTGTTGCTGGAGCAACTGCAAAAGCAGCAGTTTCCTGCAGCTAGTATCCCTCTCTTTGCTAGACAAATCCTAGCAATTTACTGTCTTCTTTGCTCAGTGTGAATTGTCCGTCTCCCTAAGACCTGAGGATTTTCTTATGGATTGACCTTGAGTAGGATTTATAATGAGCCTAATGATGGAAGAATGGCAAAATGCAGAATAACTCAAACTTGGACAACCATGCCAATTCCATGACACATCTGAGGGCCAACTCTGATGATCAAGTCAAGCAACTGATCTCCAACTCTGAAATCTGTTGCTCCAAAAGAGTAATCCAGGCCTGCACAGCATACAGCCCATGGGCCACCTGTGGCTCATCAAGCAGCCTTGTGTGGCCCACCAGTGTTTCTTGAAAACTCAACCAACCCACTGCCGCCAAACATTGCCACCACCAGGAATGACCCACCACCACCGCCACCTGATTTTTCACAGCCACCTCCACCCTGAAAGACACACTGGGGACCACCTCCAAGCCTCACCAACACTGCCAGCTCCATTGCTGCTGCCGTGCCAAGCCACCACACAGCTGATCAGTGCCCCAGCTATTCCTTTGCGACCCCCAATTATTTGTCATGCAGCAATCCAGCCCTTCCCTTCTGGGAGTTGGGCTAGCCTGGGTGTCTGAGTACTTTGGTGCTGAAGTTTGCTGCTAATGCTGAAGCTACTAAATTCAGCTGAGGATGTGAGCTGGAATGAAAAGTATTTAATTGACCAATTCATAGTCTATCAGATGAAATACAAGATGAACTAATTCACTAGGGCACCCCAGAGACCTTTTTTGCATTCATCAAGGTCAGGCTGGGTATTGGAGGAAGATTGGCAGTTGAATACAAATGGGGAAAGAAAATGGCACTCCTCTCATTCTGTTCTTCCTAACTTTGGAAGTTAGACACATGCAATGAGGAGCTAACAGAGTTCTACTATTTGCCAGGGCGCACAAGGCTATGTTTATATTGTGGAGAACTTGAACACTTTGCATGCTTGACTAAGATCTCTCCCTTGCAAAGAATTGGCTGTTTTACTCGTGGGGGAGGGAGCATTTCGCAATCAGATGTCCTAAACCCTCCAGAGCAGTGTTTCTCAACCTTGGCGATTCTGGAAGTTGAAGTCCAGACATCTTAAAGTTGCCAAGGTTGAGAAACACTGCTCCAGATCTAGCCTGTTGGGAAATAAGCTACTTCCCAACTCCAGGGGCTCACAGCTAGCCAGAAATTAAGTGGAGCCCAGACATGAAAAGGTGTGCCTTGACTTTTCATCATTCCTGTCACTCTACCAACCCAGCTGGGGATTGGAAATATAACTCAAGGTCTTAATAGATTGGTGCCACAGGCAATTTCCCTGAATCCTCTACTGCATGCAAATTAGTTCTATCCCCATAGCCTGTCTAACCATTTGTTAGACCATTGATGGCTGGTTCTTATGCTGAGGACCAATCACGGAGTGCATTGAACCTCTAGAGGAGGTCCCTGCAACATTACCTAGGCTCCGCATTAAGTTTATTGTGAAGGGACTGGCCTGTGATTCACAATTCCCATATTAACTAGGCCATGATAACAGAAGCTTTGATTCCCCCACATCCAAAACTCTCAGCGTCAGACTTTAATCTTTTACCAACCTGCTGCAGGAACAGACTAGGCTGATGTGTTGGGAAAGGAGGGAATATGGGCCCTGCGCCCTCAATGATTCTGTGACTGATCAATCTCATCCCTGGAGCTCAGATTGCTGCAAAATATCACCTGATGTCAAATGCAGAGTTGGCCAGCCTAAAATAATTCATCAGTGAAAAGTTATAGAAAAGCTTTGTTTACTTGGCCTTACCCACGAGTGAAAAGAAGGGTCCTTACATGTTGGGCATGATCACTTGCTCCTGAGCTATGTAGCTAATAGGAATCACTACCCTCTTCCTCTCTGCCAATGATTCCTGTGATGAAATCCATGTATCTGATGTTCTGTGGATTGGTGAACACTCCATCAGTCTTTGTGTTCTTTATGAATTGTATTTTTCATGGTTTCTGAACAATGCTTTGTCTGTGTACTTGGATGATTTGCTCCTTTATTCTCATTTGCTCATTTGTTCTTAGATGATTTGCTCATTTATTCTAATTCTACTCTTGATTATTGATTACGTGCCATCAAGTCAGTGTCAGCTCTTAGCGACCACACAGATAGATTTTCTCCATGATGATCTGTCCCTAACCTGGTCTTTCAGGTCTTCCAGCGTTGCACCCATCACCACTGAAACTGAGTCCATCCCCCTTGCTGGTGATCATCCTCTTCTTCTCTTTCCTTCCACCCTTCCCAGCATTAGAGCCTTCTCTAGAGAGTTGGGTCTTGGCATAATGTGTCTGAAGTAGGATAAATCAAGCCTGGTCATTTGTGCCTCGAGTGACAATTCTGGATCAATTTGTTTGATGATCCATTGGTTTGTTTTCTTGGCTGTCCACGGTCTTCTCAGGAGCCTTCTCCACCACCAAAGTTCAAAGATATCAATATTCTTCCTATCCTACTTCTTCAACTTTCACTTCCACAGAGTGTCCCAGGGAATCCCATGGCTTGTATGATTCTGATCTTTGTAAATATAGACCACGTCACAGCATCTGAATATTGTTTCCAATATTCAGTACACTTTCTGGGCTTTGCCAACCTTTACCATACTTTGGTTCCTAATGTTGCTCCCCTAACCTAAATGTGATACTCAGGAACCCTTTCTTCTGCTCCAACAGACATTCATTTCTCAGCCATCCTTCATCCTCCAGGTCCCCCCTATCCCTTTGCTCTACAGGGTGATACTTCTGATTTTGTCGTGAGAATTGAACTTTGGCAACCCAATGACACCCTTCCGAATATTTTCTGGCTGCTCAATGCTTCAGCCTCTTTGGCCCAGCAACAGCTTCTGCAAATCTGTCGAGGTCATCTTCCTTACTTGTACTCAGATGATGTCATTTGTCCAGACACACTTCAGGAAAAAATGACTTATGCGTGATTTCAGGGTCAGTCAGAGAATCAAGGCTTTACTATAAATTAGCAAGTCCTAGGGAAGAAGAGAGATGACAATGTATACATGCGTCAAAGTAATAAAAAGTTGAATCCTTCAAACCCCGATAGCAGTCATTGCTTTTCTTTCTATTCAACCGTTCCTGGCTATAAATTGCAACTTCTTTAAAAGAGGGGCTTCTTGAGGGGTGGGGAAGGGGCAGAATATTGATGCAATTGATGCTTCAAGCATTTCTTGCAAACGTTGTATTTTGATCAAATCCCCAATCCTGGGAACCTAAACTTTTGCCACAAATATTCTGGTTTTAACTATTATAAAATACCTCCTGGCTATTAGAGACTTCTGCAAGATCCAGTACGTTCGTCAAAATGATTAAAACAGCATAGCAACACAAGTTCCACCACCCCTTTTTTATGGGCCTGTGACCCCAAGACACGCAGAAGGGATGAAGCTTGAGTTGCGACAACACACCTTTTCACAACCCTGCCCCCCCCATAGATGCATTTTATACAGCTTGTTATTTTCCCCCCTTTTAAGTAATTTTGATGGAACCCATATTAATAAGAACTTAAGGTGGCACAAGTGGGCATAGTTCTAGATACATCCATCCATACATACATACATGTCTGGACACAACTAATGGGGGTGGGGGTGGGAGGAAGACCATGGTGAGGGCCACACCATGGTAGATGGTTTAACATAGGCAAGAAGGTGACAACAACACTCACCTTTAAAAACAATTAATAATTTTGTTTACAGCCTTGGTTAACTATGCCAAATGTATGTATAACTGTGTGATTTCAGCTGCCAGGTCGAATAGATCAGTGAAACATCTTTCTTGTGTTAACTGGTTTTCTTAAAATAATAAACAAAAAAGGATATTTATAACTGAATTTCTCGAGCTGCAAAGCAGTTTCTTTAACGCGCCAGGGTACGTGGCTGAGGTCGCACACCTACAAAGCCATCACAGTCTGGTTTAGAGTTAGGAGGTGGTGTGATCCCGGCCATCATGACTCCTGAATCATGGTTTGGAACATCACAAGATGGGAAACCCAGCAATCGTGGCTATTCAAGGCTTGGTGTTGGGATAAGCTTTCAAGGGCCGTGGGGGCGTCCTTGTGTGGTATCCTTCTGAGGGGGGCAAAATGTATAGGATATTTGTGAGCAGTATAAAGGCTCTCGCTCTTTTCTTGGCAGCGACAGAAATCCTTGGTTCCTTGATTCCAAGACTGTTTTGACTTTTTTCAATCTCGCCTTTGCTGTGGAAAACTCAGAAGGAGCACAACCCCAAGGAGAAATAATAATTTATTCAGCCATCCTTTACAAGAAAGAGGAGCCCCGAACGATGGAAAAGCAGAAATATTTATGGAAGTGGAGGGCTACAGGATGAGAAATCCAAGGACCTGATTGGTTGGAAAATGGGGGGGGGGGGAGCTAGGTGGGTCCTTGGCTTTGGGGCTGGGGGGCTGCTTCTGTTAGGCAAAACGCAGCAGCGGTGCAAGAAAAGCCTCTGGGGAAGGGGCTGGAGGGTTGAGACAATCGGGGGGGTGTCCTGGAGTACACGGTACTCAGTTCCCAATGAAAGCAATTCCCATTGGATTCATCACCCCAGTGTATCGATCGTCCTCATTTAGGGACCGCAATTGGGTCTGGCAACCTGGTCATTAAGCAAAGCGGTTGCTAAGTGAAACATCACACGATCGCAACTGTGCTTATGATTTTACATAGGACAACGGGCACTGACTGTAATGATGAACACACAACTGAGAGACGTGAAGGTTGTAAATGCAAGGATTGGTTGCAGAGTTACTTTTTCATCACCGTCATAACTGCGAATGCTCACTAAATGAGGCAGTCGCTAAGCAAGGGCTACCTGTAATGTGATGAACTAACCCCGGGGTGCTGGGGTTCAAACTTCCACATCTGCTATGGATTTCCTGGAGACCAGATACATATTGCTGTTGTTCAGGGATGCGCTGCTTTTATTTCAAGCTATTTTTTTCACTTTTAAGAGTTTTCAGTTAAGGTGGGAAGAATTTGAGCAATCCCTAACTGGAAACAGAGATACTTGGCCAGGAAAATTCTGGGAGTTGAAGTCCCACACATCTTCAAGCTGCCAAGGTTGAGAAACACGGATCTAGGCCAACCTTTTGCAACGTGTCCAGATTCTTCTTCAAACCGCCAGAGGTGGAGAACCCACAACTGTTCCGCTGTTGGACAGATCTTACCATCAGAAAGCTTTTCCTTAAACAAAAGTAGGGAGCTGCAGGTTACACCAGTCATTTCTGGCCCTAGTTTCATGGCCTGACCATGTTCCCTTTACCTCCCTGCACACAGCTATCATGGATTCCCTAAGTCTCCTTTTCACCAGACGGAACACCCCGACTTCCTCCAGCCTGTCAAGTCCCTGTATCCCCATCGTTGTCCTCCTCTGGTCCTCCCCTATCCTGTCAATCTCCTCCAAAGAACAACAGTTTTGCTGCAAAAGCTGGCCCGTAGTCCAGATGTTAAACATAAATTGTAAAAATTTACCTTCCACGTGCGTCCATTTTTCAGGGGTGTGCAACTTTTGGGGGTTCGGAGAAGCACAGAGTCTTTGAATAGCAACCCCAACCCGCATTCCGAAAGACAAGGCACAGCCTAAACTCAAAACCCTTGTGAACCACAAAACAATACAATTTGACAGCAGCCAGTTTTGGAAGGCCTCCAGCTGCAGGAAGACCAGTGGCTCAGAGCGTGGCTGGTCATCAGCTCCTGAGAAGCCACCACGTGCAGTTTCCCTGCAGGCTGAATCTGGTCCCTCAATTCCAGCAGCCCTGTGCAGAATTCCTCTTTTTCCCACCACTGCCTCTTTCCCCGGGGTTCATCTTCATCTCTGTTGACGCTTTCCTGAAGTTGCAGTTATTACCCTTTCACTCTTGGCCAACGCTGCTCCCCTGAGGGAGGAGAGCAGGGGAAATGCAGCCGCGGCTAAAAGGAAAATCAGGACGCTACAAAGACAAGCAAGCATCGGAAGATGCTAAGGAACATTATTTAGAGCAGACTCCCCGGCCCGGTTTGGTTCAGGACAGCAATGCCCAGAGTCCTTGCAACGGGTCAGGAGGAGGCTAAAGGTGCCTTTAGATGATGTCCCACTTTCCTGCATCGTCTCTTTCATTTATCCTGCAAAACGTGAGGTGCAGCATATTGATGGACTCTGGAAAGTGGTTTTTATTTTATTTTATTTTATTTTATTTTATTTTATTTTGAGAAAGAGACTACAGAAGGTAAAGAGCAACCTTGTTCAGGAAGTTTTTTTTTTAAAAAAAGCCTTTCACAAGAACTAATTTTTTTTTTATTCATCTTCTTTCTCTGTCTTTGAGAAATAATGTCTGCTATAAAAGACAGTTGGAGAAACCTCCTATTTCAGTGAACCAGGTCATGATCCCCCCATGCAAAATGTTCTGGATGTTAAGGTTTTCTCTTTCTCTCTCTGACACACGCACTTAGGAAAAATACCCAAACACTTTGGCAAAGCCTTCCTGATCCACAATCTGACCCAAGTGAAGTGAAAAATACAAGTTCTCTTTCTGGTCATACTGCCTGAACTTCAGGAGGAATCTGTTCTTGCCTTCGTCCGCATTTCCTAGGGTCATGACAGATTCAACCGGACAGCAGAAATTTCTCCTCTTCCCCCAAAACGTCAAGTGCGAAACTTTTAAAAGAGTGCCGTTCTCATTCAGGTACATGAAGCCGATGATCCGCTGCAGAAAGAAGCTGATTGCGTACAAGACGACTACGGAGAAGCAGAGCACGCCTGTCGCGTAAAGACCGTGAGTCAGAGTAACCTGGTTTAGCTGGTAGAAATACCAGACCGAAGGGAGGATCACAAGAGCGATGCCCGACTGCAGTACCTTCAGCCTCGACAAGAATCTCAAGAACGTGATGCCGGAGAATTGGTAAATCAAGGTAAATTTCTCTGAGCTTTCGAAGCTGGGTTGCGGCCCCGGATCACGCTGAGAAAAGGCCGCCCCGCCCAGCCAACGGGGCTGCCCCAGGCGAAGGCCGGGCGCCTGGCCAGCTCCCCGCTGCAGCACGGCCGGACTTCCAAAGGAACGGAGCACGCGGTGGTCCCCTTTCCACAGCTGCGGAGCAAGGCTGTTTTGAAGACCTCTGGGCCCGAAGAGGACCAAGCGCCAACGGGCGCAAGCCGCGAGGACCTTCATCTGGAACGAAACAGATGGGTGTCCGTCAGGTTGTGAAGGGGAGGCCTCCGGATCTAACCGCGGAGAACTTCTCACAGCAATTCGGAAAGCAGACCGTTTGCGTCCAGGCTCGTAAATAAGAAAAACCGATGCTTCAGTTTAATTAAAGGGCAGGATGTCACGTTGGAGGTTATGGCACTCTATTCTGCTTTTTCCCCACGTAGCTACTGGGATTCCCCCATGCCTAGCTTCTGTCCTCGTGACAACCGTGTGAGGTAGGCCAGGCTGACAAATGGGCAGCGACTCCCAGGTCACCCGCTGCCGGAGATAAGAAACGGCCTTCTGCGTGAAATGCCTCGGCAGTATTATGGGTTTTCCGTGCTTCCTGCCTTCCAGACCCAAAGCAGAGCCTCAGGCCTCCACTAGAAGGCTGGTCTTCTCTAATGTGTTGGACTACAACCTCCATCATCCCCCAGGACTACAGGAGGTGCCATTCGAACCACCTCTCAGCAGGAGGCAGCAATGCCCCCCCCTCTGGAAACCAAGCAAGGTCAAACCCAGTTAGGGCTTGGATGGGAGACCACCAGGCGCTCCCAGCTCCGCAAAATCCAGAAACATTTCGGAGGGAAGCCGAGGCCCGCCGCAGCTGTTCTGCTGACAAGAAAGCCGTTTCGGGGCGAGAGTGGCTGGTTCAGCCCGGGCAGCACCAGCTGGCCAGGCCGAGTGAGCCGTGGACAGGAGACCACAAAGAAATGCCGGGCTGTCAGCTGGGCCAGGCCGGCGGCAGCAGCCAACCGTTTCCAAGCATCTGCCAAGGAAAACCACCCGCGGGCCTTGCAATCCAGTGCCCGACGCAGCGCGATTTAACAGGAAAAGCCCGCGCCACGATAAAAAGGGGCAAAGACGGCCCCAGGTCCCGGTGGCCTCCTCTCCGCGCAGGCCGGACCCAGCCCTGCTCA